TCTGTCTAACGCACATTATGGTAAGGACTAACTTAACTTCTCATCATGAACATTAACTGCTAATTATTCCAAAGCCGGAATTCTCAGTTTATTCCAAAACAGCTTTCCTTCTTCAAAGTAGCTTTCTATTTATGTTGAACTACATTTTTGATATCATTCCCAACAATTATAACCATCAGATTGGGAGTTGCTCTAAAGCAGTGGGTCTCAGCCTTCCTAATGCCGCAACCCTTTAATACAGTTCCTCATGTTGTGGTGACCCCCAACCATATAATTATTTTATGTTTTCTGTATTTTTTTTTAAATATGTGTTTTCCAATGGTCTTAGATGACCCGTGAAAGGGTCATTCGACACCCCCCCAAAGGGATCCCAACCACTCCTCTAAAGCATATGTCTATTATAATTCTGCCTTTTCTGAAAATCTTTGACATGACACCTGACTTTTTTTTTTTAATCAACACTTGTTTTATTTTATACTGTTTTGGGGACTCAATACATTTTTGTAATAACATTCCAAGGCTACTATCATGATAATTTGGGAATAAAAATTAATGTATTCCTTGACATAATTAGATTGTTTCACTGTATTTCGGATGCATTATAGACCCAGCTGTAGAAAAGGCTTTAATTTTGGGAAAGATGGAAGGAAAGCTCTCTGCCAGGAGAGTTTAAGAATTTAAAAAAGTATTTTGGAATACAGGTAGTCCTCAATTTACAACTGTTCATTCAATGTCGATTTGAGTCTGTTCAAGTCTCTGCTTGAAGTTACAGCTGTTGCAGCACCCCTACAGTCACATGATCAAAATTTGAGCATTTGACGACATGCCCACCCTTACAGCTGCAAGGGCACAGCAGTCCAGCCCACCCCAACCTGGCCCATTGGTATGTATAAAGCTGCCATGGCTCTTTAGGCCTTAGCCTGCCCTCTGGCTAGGTTTATCCACCACCCAGGCCCTCTTTCTATCCTGCCATCCCCAAGTTGACTTCTCTGTATCTTTTTCTGCAGTTGCTAAAAGAGCCTTTCTAGTTTTCAGTTTCAGTTTAATAAAATTTGTATGCCGCCCACTCACATTGGGACTCTGGGCGGCTCACAGGCAAGATAAAAAGC